AAATCATTTACGTAACATTTTCATAACTAATGTTTTTCCAAAATTTGTATACAACAGATCACTATTTTTAAAGTAGATTGCATTCCTGAAATTGGAGATAGTATACAGGAGGGTCCCGCTTTAGAGAGCTTTGCTCTAAGGAGATTCGCTAATACAGATATTTCAAATTAGTATAACCAAAAATTCGTTTATATGGCTCCCTGATTAGCAATTATGGCATCTGCATGCCACTCTGTTTACATCCTCCCTGAGCTTCATCTCTCTCAATTATGTCCGGAAACTTTCCAAAATTTCAAGTGTTTTAAAGTCATTGCATATTTTACATATACAGCCTCTCCTCACTTAACAATGGAGTTCCATTCCTAAGACCACGTTGGTAACAAATATGTTGCTAAGTGAGGAGCATACTATAATGGTAGTGGTTTGTGTCAACCATCTTTGATATTGTTTTAATGTCACCTTTGCACCATTTATAACATTTCTGGTATATTTTTAAATGTTTATGCAGTAGTGTACTGTATATTGTAATAAATAGAATAGAGGAAATCAGATTTAATATACATTATTTAAGTATACATACTGGTCAAAGAGCCTGTCATAAACCCAAGTCATCAATACTTCATTTTCTTCTTTTGTAATATCTTCTATCCGATCTTTTGAGTTTCCTCAATGTTACATATTCAGCACAGACCTTGTATGCTTCTGTATTCAGCTTCTCAAGAGCTGATGAAGATTTAGTGCTCATGTCTTTTTCCCAGGATATGTCTATTAGTTCTTGACTTATTTTGTCCCAGTTAATTCTATGGCTGTTGAAGTTAAACTTACTGAACCTCTCTTCTCTTACATTAGTGCTGTAGTTCCCTAACCCTGAGTTTATACTTTTTTATACTTCTAAACTGTGTGGTCAGAGTATTGTTTTTGTAATTATGTCTCTGATTAGTTTCCCATTGTTAGTGAATATCAGATCCAGGGTGTTTTCATTTCATTATCTATTGGTTCAATGAGTACTTGTTACAAAACCTCATTAGTTCCTTGGTATGTAGATGTATCTGTTGAGCCAGGGTGCTTCCAGGAGATATTTCTGGTATAACACTGTGCTGAGCCATCTTCCATTTTACATGTGGGAGATTAAAATCTCCAAGGAGGATAATAGAGCCTCTCCTCACTTAGCAATGTACTCATTTACCGACAACTTGGACTTACGATGGGCTCTCTGACCAGTATGCTTACATAAATAATGTACAGCCTCTCCTCACTTAATGACGGAGTTCCGTTACTAAGAAAATGTCATTAAACAAATTCGTCGCTAAGTGAGGAGCATACTATAATGGTGGTGGATTTGTGTCAACCATCTTTGGTATTGTTTTAATGTCACCTTTGCACCATTTATAACATTTCTGGTATATTTTTAAATGTTTATACAATAGTGTACTGTATATTGAAATAAACAGAATAGAGGAAAACAGCTCTAATATACATTATTTAGGTATACTGGTCAGAGAGCCCGTCGTAAGTCCAAGGCGTTGGTAAACGATTATGTCGCTAAGTGAGGAGACACTGTATATTAGAGCTGATTTCCTCTATTCTGTTTATTTCAATATACAGTACACTATTGTACACTATTTTATAAACATTTAAAAATACACCAGAAATGTTATAAATGGTGCAAAGGTGACATTGAAACAATACCAAAGATGGTTGACACAAATCCACCACCATTATAGTATGCTCCTCACTTAGCGACAAATTCATTTACCAATGAGGTCTTAGGAACGGAACTCTGTTGTTAACCCTTTGACTGTTTCAGGCCCCTCTCTGAAACTGTCATTCTATGTCGCTCAATTTTTGAAAAAAAAAAAATTATTTTTTCTTATGAAATGATAGAGAATCTTTTCCCGATGGTAATGACACCAAAAGTTTGAAATTTGGTCGAAAACTCGTGGAATTATGCTCCCGCGAAGTTAGCGGTCTCGGCGACATATGCGTATCGGCGATTTCGCCGAATTTGAGCCCTATTTTCAGCCAATTCCATTGTTCCAGTTGACCAAACTCATAGCTATTTCTTTAGAACTCCATTTTATCTATCAGCTGAGTACAAGAAACCTCCCATTTACTAATTTGGACTACCCAATATGGTGGTCAGAAATTGGCAATTTGGCCAATTTCACGCAAACTAAATTTCAAAATAGGGTCCAGAATAAACAAGGTAGACATTCGTGGCACTAAAATAACATATGCTCTGTTCATTAGTCACATCTCTAGGCCCCTCTTATATTATTATTGCTTTCTATTTTGATTTTTTATTCATACAAAAAAATACAAAATTTACTGTTACGCAGACGACTGCATTATTGTAAAAATGGTATAAATAATATCAGTGCACTAGTGAAAGAATATTAGACTCCCCAGTTGACGTGTATTGGACGTGTGGTGTGATTTATTTACTCTTGAACATTGGTAAAAATCGAACATTTCCGCTACTTTGAGCTCAGTTTCAAGGTCGTTTTCATCGTAAAAGTAATGAAAATCATCTCTATTTCTGTAATATGTTTTCCATTTTATCACCTAAGACCATGAAAACGCGAATACAACGATAAATACTATACGAAAATACACCTCAAAGTCGGCGTTTTATTCCAAAAAAAACGATCAGTTTTTTTTTCTCATTACGCAATGTGTGCTGCAGGATTTTTTTTATGTGGTGCACACTGACCACACAGACCCATTCTCTCACATGTGGGCCTACCAGCTTTCTCCCGCTTGATTTGAAGCCGCTAGAATTATTGAGTATATATACGTCAGAAATATTGGCTCGTAAGACGTATTTATACGTCGAAAACAGTCAAAGGGTTAAGGGATGAGAGGCTGTATTGAGTGTGGGATTTTCTAGCCTATCAAAACGGCTATCTATCTTCCTGATCTGTGAATTCCTCAGCTGTTGCAATGGTGGTTTATATTATTTTGATTTATTAACATATCGACCTATTCCCACCAAGGCAGGGTGGCCCGAAAAAAAAAAAAAACCATCATTCACTCCATCACTGTCTTGCCAGAAAGGTGCTTTACACTAGTTATAAAACTGCAACATTAACACCCCTCCTTCAGAGTGTAGACACTGTACTTCCCATCTCCTGGACTCAAGTCCGGCCTGCCAGTTTCCCTGAATCCCTTCATAAATGTTACTCTGCTCACACTCTAACAGCACATCAAGTATTAAAAACCATTTGTCTCCATTCACTCCTATCAAATACGCTCATGCACGCTTGCTGAAAGTTCAAGCCCCTCGCACGCAAAACCTCCTTTACCCCATCCCTCCAACCCTTCCTAGGTCGACCACTACCCCGCCTTCCCTCCACTACAGATTTATACACTCTCAAAGTCATTCTGTTTTGTTCCATTCTCTCTACATGTCCGAACCACCTCAACAACCCTGTACATTGAATTTTTGTAAAGGTTTAGTCAGACACGGGGAATGTCATAGAGATGTTTGTGTCTGGTGTTATACCTGTGGGTACTGTCACAACTATCAAGAAAGTATTTTAGGTCAGGGTTAATACTGGAATTTAAGGTCCTGTAGATGTAGACTGCACAGTAGTAAGTGTGGATGTTCTGAACAGTGAGCAAGTTTAGATCTATGGAGAGTGGGGGTGTGTTGCCTGGGATGGGATTGAGTGATTATTCTTATTACGGCTTTTTGTTGGGTTATTATTGGCTTTAGGTGTGTTGCTGCAGTTGATCCCCAAACACAAATAGCATAGGTGAGGTATGGAGAAATGAGTGAATGGCATAATGTGAGAAGGGCTGACTGTGGCACGTAGTATCGTATCTTGGAGAGGATCCCAACCGTTTTGGATACTTCTTTTGTTATGTGTTGGATATGGGTGCTGAAATTCAGGCTGTTGTCGAGGTATAGGCCTAGGAATTTGCCGTCATTATATCTGGCAATTAGAGTGCTGTCGATCTTAATGTTAAGTTGTGCAACACCTGCTCTGCTACTAAACATAATATAATAGGTTTTGTCAGTGTTAAGTGTAAGTTTATTGGCTGTCATCCAAGTAGATATTTTGAGCAGCTCCTAGTTAACAATGGTGTTGAGGGTGGCAAGATTTGGGTGGGAGATGACGTAAGTCGTGTCGTCAGCAGAGAGAATGGGTTTCAGGTGTTGGGATACCTTGGGAAGATCACTGATGTATATGAGGAAGAGCAGGGGGACCAAGGACACTTCCCTGCGGCACTCCAGTATCAAGTGGCCCTATTGATGAGGCCGTGTTTTTAATGGTGACATACTGATACCTATTAGTAAGGTAGGATTTGAAATATGCAAGCGCATGGCCTCTTATACCATAATGGTCAAGTTTGTGGAGTAGGATGCCGTGGTCTACTGTGTCAAAAGCTTTTCTTAGGACAATAAAAAGTCCTAGCGGATATTCCTTATTTTCCAATGCTGTGTAAAGCAGATCTAGCATTTTTACAATTGCATCATTAGTGCTTTTATTTTTTCTGAAGCCAAACTGGAAGGGGTCGAGTATGTTTTGTGCTGTCATAAATGAATATAGTCTCCTGCACACGAGTTTCTCGAAGATTTTGGTACAGCTCTTAGGTTCACGGCCTAAGACAGCAGTTTTTTTTAGTATCAAATGCACCTGAAATGCCCGTTAACATGTTCACAATATCATATATTAAGTGTTCAATACAGACAGGTACAAAAAAAGATAAGAGTATAATACACAATACATACAATACTTACCATAAAATGTAGTACCGGTTACCCTTCCCTTATGCAAATATTGTAAAAAGAGGTAAAAGCACCAAACAATGAATCAACTGAAAGCCAACAAAAATGAAGAACATGGTAAAGAGGATGCTGTACATGCAGGGCCCTCCTGAACTTGAAGTGTGTACCTAATATAATGGCCAGTGAATGTATATATGAATTAATACATAGTACTGCATATGTAAATAGGTAATAACACAAAAACTACAATTAAAAAAATTCCTACCTGTAAGTTTTAAATGGCGATTTATTTTTCACTGAATTTGTGTGTTTCTTGGTAAAATGAGTATGGAGTCTTGACGTATCCCGCTTACAGCAGCTACAAAATACACATTTTCCTAAAATTAAGAAAAAGCCAAATTGTGGAATCAAAGATCATTTAAGGAATATTTTCCAGCTCTGAGTGTAAAGCAAACTACAGTGGAACCTCGGTATGAGACCTTAATTCATTCCAGTAGGCTGTTCGAGTACCGCTCTGTTTGAGCTTTGAACAAGTTCTTCCCAACCAATTTTCTTTTTGGTTGGCTGTTATCACTAATCTTCGTAGGCCCCATGGCGACTTATTTATACAAATAATAAAAAAAATGCGAAGAAACACGAAATAGTTCACAGCGAAGTTCTGGCAGGTCGTATTTGTTTGGTCGAGTGCTGAGCTTTGTTTGAATAGGGAGCTGGTCGTATACCGAGGCTCCAGTGTGATATGATATACATACAGTGCCCGCAATAATAATCCAGACATGCCTCTATTATAAGCAGTATAAAGCAGTCCAGATTCATAATGCACATTTGATGCTGTACTTCATCTGAATGTTTTCTGGAAATCTCTCTCAACTCTCAAGTTAATACAAAAGACTGAAGCACCCATCACCTCTCAGGGCACCTGCACACTGCAATAAGATAAGATGTTCTGTTGCACTGCTCTAACCCCAAATCACTAGGATTTGGAACTATTTAGTACAGTGTAATTTTGTGCCAAGGGGATAAATGAGAGTTGTTTAAAGATGAATAGCAAGGAAAAAGACAGTATATTGGCTTGGAAACAAGAAAAAGAAAATTTGTCACTGTACTGGACAAGTAAAGTTCAGCATAATGGCCTCCCTTGCTATAAAACCTTATACTAGACACCCATGAAGGACATCTAAACATTTAGATTAACATCCTAGTAGAAAACTATGCAGAAATCCACATAAAACAGCATCACAGACCAAAGAAATGCATCTTGAACACCTAGGTGACCTCTTGATTTGGTCCAACTGACACTGCCTGCAAAAGGACCTCTGCTTGCAAAGTCATCATGATACAACGAAACTCCTACTCATGTCTTGCATGAAGAAGGAATGCCTGCAATTTGCCATGTTAACAGAGTATTGATGACTGGAAAAAAAAAAAAAAGCCAAGTGGTCAGGTGAATCCACATTTGAATGCCTTCAAGGTCATCAAAGTTAGGTGAGGTACCCCTCCTCCATCAGCAGATACAACCCTGCACACACACACATACTGACCACTGTAAAGCACTCACAATCTGTCATAGTTTGGGGTTGCTTTAGTGATTTACTTGGTCAAGGGCGCTTGTACCATTTTCTCCAAAATGTTACAATGAATACTGACTCCTACATAACCATGCTCGAGGATCATCTAATGAACATTTTTGAAATTCATGGCTGCACCACCTTTATGCATGATAGCCCCCCCACCTTCTCCATCACAAAGAAAAAGATTAACCAAGTGGCTTGCTGAGAAAAATAATGAGGTTTTTACAGTGACCAGAGAATAATCCAGATCTCAATCCTATTGAGAATACCTGGAATATCATGAAAAAGATGGAATCCTTCCACATTTTATTCACATTGGGCCTGCAGCAGAAGATCAAGGGCATTTGAGTGAACCAGTTATCCACTGATTACTTCAGGAATATGAGTGTAAGCATGCCCAAACAGCATCAGTCATCATAGCCATTGGGGAGACAATGAAAGATTAATGTAGGAACCAATCTTCATAATGTTTTTTAATGATTTTGTAAGAATAAAGGGGAGGTCCGGATTATTTTTGTGGACACTGTATGCATAACGTTTAATCAGATCAACACCAGTTTTACTCAAAAGTATTTATATCTTTAATGAAAATGAAACATTTATGAATTCTGCATAAAGGTAATGACATATACAGGTTCACCACTAATTTTCCAAGAACTGATGATCAAGCACTTATTTTAGTCCAGGAATTATTGAAGTGGTTTCGATATTTAGAGAGAATGGAGCAGAATAGGATGACTTGGAATGTATATAAATTGGTAGTGGAGGGAGGGAGAAGTAGGGATCATCCTAGGAAAGATTGGAGGTGAGAAGTAAAAGAGGTTTTGCATGTGAGGGACTTGGACATTCAACAGGCATGTGTGTGTGTTAGATAGGAGTGAAAGCAAAACAGAACATCATAACTTTGTGATGAAACAAGAGCTAAGGAATTTTTATTTGATGTATGAAAAATTGCACAGGGAAAGTAGATACAGTAGTTACTAAACCATGGTGCTGTAGAGACACGGGAGGCATATAATTAGCGACATCTGTTGGTCAGGCAAAGTGGATAACCTAGCAAGGCTGTGGAGCCAAGGGTACTAGAAAACTGGTAGTGTACCTGTATAGATTTAGTTGTAAATTTGTTAATATTAAAACTACATACAAAAGTTCACTTTCTACATGATACCTCCCACATGACTAAAGTTATTTTCATGATGTCAAACTTTCAAAGTTATCAGTTTATAAAATCTTCATACTGTTAGATTTGAAACGCTCACCAATACTGGAATAATTAACTAAAAATATGTACACAAGTTGGTCACCAAAGAACTTAAGTCATTTCCAATGTTTTTAATCAAGTCATGTGGTGAACTGAATTAGAAATAGGATATGTTATACAGATACAGTGTAGTAGATAATATACAGTATAATATAATGTAAGTTTTTTTTTTTTTTTTTAACATGTCGGTCATCTCCTACCAAGGCAGGGTGACCCAAAAAGAAAGAAAATCCCCAAAAAGAAAATATCTTCATCATCATTCAACACTACTTTCACCTCACTCATACATAATCACTGTCTTTGCAACGGAGCTCAGATACGACAGTTTAGAAATCCCTCCAAACTGCCAATATCTCAAACCCCTCCTCTAAAGTGCAAGCATTGTAAGTATAAGAGAATAAAAAAATCAAGTCTTTAAATTAAATTTGTGAAAAATCAGTCTTCTTGTATTTACCTCTCCCAGAAAGTGAGGAACTTCGTCGCAAGGGTCTCATTCTCCTGCAGGAACGAACTTCCAAAGATCTGTTGGTGTGAGTTGGCGAAGATATTCCAGTATGTCGTGTACACACTATCTGGGAGTGGATCACACTCAACATTACCAGCACAGCTGCAGGAACCAACACCTCGAACACTGGAACTTCCTAAGATTACAGAGTTAGAAACATTGTAAATAATGCAGAGTATACTGAACTAATTACACTGCTTCCTCAAATTTAATATGATCATTTAAATAACAAATGTGATGTTTACAATTCTTTTTTTAAGTGAATATCAATAATACTCATTACCAATTTCACTATCTCCTTTGTGCAGTCTCTCTCTAAACATTTAAGATTTAGAAAATTTCAAATTCTGAGCTTAACAAAAATGACTATAACTGTGCCTAAATGTATACAGTAGGGCCACAACACTTGATGCTAATGCACTTCTAAAAATTTTTCTTTAAGTTGAGTGCTCAAAACTTTGAACTTATTGCCCCACAGATACCCATGCTACAATCTGAGATGTATTCCAGAGCCATAATATTTTGTGTCTAACTTAATTTTTTTTTAACTAAGAACATTTACTCAATATTTTATGTTCATTACTATTACTTTTCATTTACAAATGCTGTATTAGATATTCTTTAATGTATACATGTCAGTTAAACAGAACAGTTACAAGACAGTACATGTTCAAGACAGGCAAAGAGATGGGCAGCAGCTGTACCATCTAAGGGAGAGAGAGGGGTGGCTCAGGGAGGGGAAGGTGGTTTGGGAGAGGCAGCTGAGGGGTGAGGTAGTCAGGAAGGGGGCAGAGGGGGGGAGAAAGCAGAAAAAAGGACAGTAGGAGAAAGGTGAAGGGGGCTATGTAGTGTGGATGGTAGTGGCGATTATATAACTATGTGACAGAAGCTGAATATTTGCAATGATTATAACTGTAGACCATTGTTCATAAGTAATTAATTGGTTGCAAAGTGCCACTGTCATAGGTCAGAATGTAGTAAGCTGGTGCCTACTGTGCAGTATACGAATATATACACTAAACCTAAATTTAACTAATAGTCTCTTAAAATACAATGAGCTTATTTTTCAATGATCATAATAACAGTGAACAATTCTGGAAACCACAAACTTTGTTAACCCTTTCTGTGGCTGTCATGTAGAACTATGTCACTGAGGCCAGGGTCCCTCATGTAGATGTAAGTCATGAGCTCAGCTCACTCAGATAACTGTGAGCAGTAAATTTTGACCTAGATATGAGAGAATGGGTTTATGCAGCAAGTCTGCACAGAATAAAAACGTTTCTGCTTCATGCGGTGCATGATAGGGAAAAAAAATTGACCATGTGGATGGTATAAAAATGACTTTTCTCGGACAGTTTTTATAGTTTTATTAGGCGTTTCTTGGCAAAATTTGATAGAATGGAAGACATACTACTGAAATACAGATGATTTTGATAGGTTTCAGAACCAGAAGTAGCTCGAAATTGAGTTCAACGTAGCAGAAATATTTGATATTTGCCAATGTTCCTGAGGACTGGTAACACGTCCCAACACCTCCCAGTCTCTTATGGGTTTTAATAGATCTGATTCAATTACTGGGACACTATAAACCATAACCAATCATTCCTGATTATATTTTATCTGAGAAATAGAGTAAACTCTATTTTTGTGTGATTAAGAATTCAAAATGGAAGGCAAGTGTAACATAGCTTGAGGGCATGATTAATGAACAGAGGAAATGTTTTTAGTGCTGGGAATGTCTATATTGTTTACTTTGGTCTCTATCTTTAAATTAGTATTTTTTAATTTTGTATAAAACTGGCCAAATTACTGACTTCTGTGCACTTTACAGGTAGCTGAAATATATGAATTGGCAGTTTCTTGTGCTCAATTGACAGGACATAAGGAATGTCAGTGAAATAGCTAAGAATTTAGTCGAATGGAGCAATGGTACTGGCTTAAAATAGGATTCATAATTGGCAAAATTGTTGAAGTGTAAATTGTGCTGAGACTGCTAACATTGTGCCTACACATTTTCATAAGTTTTCCATCAAATTTTTATTTTTTTAAATGGACACAGGGTAACATTAATTTCCAGCGTCTGGATAGTGATAAGGTTCAATTCAAGATTAATTTGCCCCACTGACAGAGACAAAAATGGATAATTCTTAAAATACGGATTTTGTCCATTAAATCTAAAATCTGTTAATTCAAGATCTATTCAATAGTGGTTTTGCTATATTTTTGATAAAGTGATATTCTGTACTGTACTGTATATTATAAAAGCTAAACTCAAATGAATTTTACAGTACCACTGCATTGTATAATTCTGTAACTACAAAATGTCTTTGAATCTATTTATTTTTTATTTTTTTTTTATTATCACACCGGCCGATTCCCACCAAGGCAGGGTGGCCCGAAAAAGAAAAACTTTCACCATCATTCACTCCATCACTGTCTTGCCAGAAGGGTGCTTTACACTACAGTTTTTAAACTGCAACATTAACACCCCTCCTTCAGAGTGCAGGCACTGTACTTCCCATCTCCAGGACTCAAGTCCGGCCTGCCGGTTTCCCTGAATCCCTTCATAAATGTTACTTTGCTCACTAATAAGAAATCAAGGAAAGCTTTCACATGAATAAGCGTATACATATATTCTATTAATATGTAATTGTGTAAAGAGAGTGAAAAAATTAAGACTAAATGTTGACGTATCAGTCACTTCTTTAAAAACATGCATGTCTAGAAGAAGACTCCACCCATCAACCTTTCATTCACCAACAGAGTCTGGCAAACAGCTTCCGCTAAGCATTTCTTCATACTTCTACATTTATTTATCCTGTTTTTCTTGGAAAAAAAAAAACATTCCTTACAAAATCTCTTTTTTAAACTTAATTCCACTAAATTGTCATTTACCCTTGGCACACTGATGTTTCCTACTATACAATTTACAAATCCCTCATTATTATTCTCTCACTTAATCCTGAAAACTAAACATTTATTTAGCCCCTCCCAAAATTTCTCTTCTCTCTAAACTTCTATCATTTCCAGGAGAATAAACACTTATCAAAACACATATCCCACTTTAACTCTAATTAACAAAAATTCTCAAATGCAAACATTTATATCCACTCCTTTCTTTCAAAAATTTTTCATTTAATAATAAACCTCTTTATTTAGCTCTTATTCTCCCTGACACACCTGACTTAGTAACTGATGCACATCAATTATTATAGAACAAAAAGGCACAATATCGTGACTGGAACAACAACACACAAATAACCCACACATAGGAGAGAGAAACTTACAACAACACTTTGGTCCAACTTGAACCATTTACAAAATCACACTAACAAAGGAGAGAGGGAGCCGGCATATACAGGAGAGACGGACAGGGACGGGACCCGGAGAGGAAGAAAAAGTAGTAGTGGTAAGGCTGGTAGTGCAAGTAGTAGTGGTAGTAGAAAGTAGGGACAGTAGTTTTAGTGGGACAAGAGATAACAAGGGAAGTGAAGGGTGAAGGAAGGCAAAAGTATGGTAGTAGCAATAGTAGTAGGAAAATTTTCAACAATAAACTTTGGCCTCTGTCCTTCTGACTTTGACCTTGTTCAACATTTCCGTGTTATTTGTCCCTCTCTGCCTTATTTCTATTGCCTTACTAAAATTCACAAACCTGATATCACTCTACATCCCATCATATCCTCCAGAGGTTCTGTCTCTTATTCTCTTGCGTCTTGGCTGGCCGAACTTTCACTCCTTTTCTTAGTATGTACTTTTTACTGCTCACCTCCATCACCCCAAGACTTCATCGAAAGTGTTCGCCCTCTCCCAATCTATAAGATGCTCAGTCTTGACAGAGTCCCTCTTCACCAATGTCCCTCTTGATGATATTCTTAATTTTCTCAGAGAGAGAAGGCCAATGAAGGGTTACTTGATCTCCTTATACCTACTGGTGTCTTTCTTGATCTTATTTGCCTTTGTGTAGACTAACTCCTTTTCCTTTCAAAGTAAATTTCATTCTCAAACGTTCAGTGTCACTATGAGCTCTCTCTTATCCCATTTTTGCTAATCTTTATATGGAATACCTCAAAGCTGTTCTTCTACCTATTAGTAGTGTCTGCCCTTCCCTCTGGCTCTGCTATGTAGATGACATCTTTGCTCTTTTTAGCCCCATGACTTTAGTCTCTTCCAACCATTTCTTAATCCCCTTAACAATCTTGCTCCTTCCATCAAGTTTAAAGCTGAATGGGAATCTAACTCTTTGCTTCCTTTCCTTGATGTATATGTCCAACGTTTGGCCACAGGCATTTCTTTTTCTGCTTATTGCAAGCCTCTGCACAGTGGTGCATACATTTACTTCTTTTCTTACCATGTTACCTCTGTCAAGAAAAGTGTTTTTATTTTTCTCTCTTTCCATGCCCTCCGCATTTGTGACCCACGGTTCCTTGAATCAGAAATTTCCACTCTAACCTTCCGATTTCATAAACTCTGCCTTCTCACATGCTAAATGGACTATCTTCTCTCTCAAACTCTCTACTCCTGTGAAATCTCCTGTTCTCTGCCTTCCCTATATTTCCAGTCTTTCTAATCTCAATAACTCTCTCCATTCCTTAGACATCAAACAAACCTTTCATCAGACTAACACCTTTCACAGTAATCTAGTTCATACCTCTCCTCCTGATATAGAGGCCCCTAGTGTCTACTCTATTTCATGTTCCTCTTGTCCTCTCCAATACTTTGAAGAAACTGGCCACACTCTGACAGACTCAAGGAATACAAAATAAGTGTTCAAAATGCTGATACCAATAATGTTCTTTTCTGTTATGTTAAGAGATCACAGTCATCCTATTAACTGGTCCTCTGCTAAAACTGTCTACCCTACTTTTAGCCTTCAGTCACCATCTTGTTGAAACATGCCTTATACACAACTTTCCTTGTATGAATCTTAGTCCTGGCTTTGTCTTTGTAGATGCCGTTCTTTCTCATTACATTGTCAAATGGTCCAAACTTCAGAACAATCATGACTTGACCTGATCCTTTCTTCTCCTCTCTCTTTACCTCTTCTTTATTTTTCTTTTTTCTTCTGCCTAAGGGTGTTCTGTTCTGTGTTTTTGGACCTACCCCTTGAGGGCCTTTTGATTTCCTGCAGTGCTCCTTTTTCTTGTCCTTTGGCTGACCCCACTTCCACTACTACTACCACCATTCCTATTACTTTTGTTACTACCATTACTTCTGCCTCCCTTCACCCTTCACTCTCTTTTCTATCTCTTGTCCCACTAAAACTACTCTCCCTTCTTTCTCCTATCATTACTACTACTACTACTCTACCTTAACACACTTACCAGCCTTACTACTACTACTTCCACTACCAGCCTTACTACTACTACTTCCACTACCAGCTCTTACACTTCACTCCACCTTACTACTATACTTCCACTACCAGCCTTACTACTACTACTTCCACTACCAGCTCTACTCATTTAGCCTTATTAACTTTAAGCCTTACATCACCATTACTTCTTTTCCTTCCTTTTTTGGCCCCATCCCTTTCCAACTGACCTATATATAATGGCTGCCACTCTCTTTTGTGTTAGTGTGAATTTGTAAATGGTCCAAGTCAGACCAAAAGGTCGCCATAAGCTTTTCTCCCATATGTGAGAGTTATTTGTATATCAAATATTAACCAATGTATATCAATTACCATTGCTCAGTACCCCTTGTGTCAAAATAAAATTTGCCAAAGTAGAATATAAATTATAAAAAATTTCCTTCCAATGATTTGGAATAACAAAAAATGATTTTATGTATTTTACTAACCTTGATAACCCCTTCATGGTGTCTATATGTTACCAGAATTGCACCACAAAAGAAAATAGAGCAGTACATAGAAAGAATTGCAAAGAATCCAGCACAGGAAGTTTCATGAATCCACCAGTGAAAATAAAACGGGATAAAAATAATACGAGCAACACCATACAGGCCAGCTAGCCACAATCCTGAATGTGGCTTTGCCTTGGGAAATGTTGAACCTGGAGAAACAAAAGGAAACTTAGTATTACACAAATAACATTTACTGTTTACCTGGAGACCTGTGCTTTATAATAAATCACACCTTTAGCTATGGGAACAAGACAACATCCTAACTTTCAAATTTCTAAAAGATAGCATGAATTTATTTTTTTAAATTGCATGAAACTCTAAGATTAGCTTGGTTAATACTGCAAACACTCTATAATAAACACTAGCCAATTTCATAATGTAGTGACAAAACAATTTTGGTTTGAAACGAACCAAGTCACAGACAAAATATGATCACAACAAAATCAAAACATAAAAGAGATGAGAAGTAACAATACATGTAAAATATTTTTTTTTTTTTACCACAACAGCCATCTTCCATCAAGGTAAGGTGACAAAAAAAAAAAATATTCACCATCATTCATTCAATAGCTGCCTTGCCAGAAGTGTGCAGTTGTCACAATCAACCTTTCACCTGTATCATCATCACCCATCCTTCAGAGTAGGTAGGCAGTTTTGAAATTTGAAGAGCACTTTGCCCAAGAAGATCATTAGGTATTCTTAACTCTTAAGAATAAAAAATAAACACAACACACAAGAACATTGGATGTAAAATTAACAACCAATAAAAACCTACTGGAATGAATAAAACACACAAAAAAATACTATCATAGTAAGTTTAAATAACCAGTATCAATTAAAAATTCCATTAAAATTTTAATGTCAAAAAGGCTCTCCTAAAAGTTCATGAGATCCCAACAGGCAACCCGGTAATTATAAAATACCAAAAAGAAAAAAGTCCAAAGCTGTGGGCAAACATTTAAAATGTGTTCCACAGTCAGCTACATGCTACAAACTACACAGAGCAGAGTAGGAACACCTGCAAACAGTTAAATACTGGCGAGTTGCGTGTACCCAATCCTCCATCAAGAGTCACATGAAAGTGATAATTCTAGTGGGGAGGGGGGGCAAAAACCTACGTCCTGCCAAACCCTCTGGGGCTCACTAGGCCCACCACTTCCTAGAATATAAGCTATGTTTGTGGCCCATGAAGTCATTGTGAGACAGACGTCTGCTAGACAGGGAGCAACACAATATATACTAATATGTTACTAAGCCCCCATGCATAACAAGAAAATCAAGTGCCTAAGAACCTCAATAAGTTACAATCCCACTGCCTCCAGCATCTATTACAGAGAGCAAACTGGAGAGGAGGATTCTGGCACTCTAACAGGAGGGGGTAAATGATCACAATGCAAATCTGGAAGAACACACCATATGAAGTCCAGAGAAACAGAACTGAAACAAAGGGGTCTTTGCTTGAGAAGGCATCCATATAAACATTATGGCAGATCTGTGACCCATCATTCATGATGCTAACTTCCAAAGGAATCTGCAAGGCCTCCATAATACCCCTCCTATCCTGGATAAAGCAACTACCATCCCATACAGGGTGGTGGACTGCAAAGTCACCCAGAAGAAGGAATGAATGAGGTAGCTCACAGATTAAGTTAGGAACATGAGAGCAGCTGAAAACCCAACCTGAAGGGAAGTACAAAGTTTACCCATAATACAGACAATCACTGTATTTTTTGCAAAAACATGTAGATATTAAAATAAATGAATCTGAAGTAGTTGAAAAAAAAAAAAAGGAAATTTTTTAGATATGCTCATAAACAAATTAAAATTTGTTGCCCATTTCAAGCACATATAAAAAAATACATAAAAAATCACAGCCATACTTTCCAAAATTCATCATTATGTTCCTTATTCTACACTGCTAAGCACTAACATGCTATCACTCTCATTTACCTATATCTCATATATGCAATATGTGCCAGGGGATCTACTTCAACTACCCATTTCAAACTAATCATCACACAATAAAAGGCAGTTTTCAGAGCTATCAAAAAATAAATGAAGGCAACATTCACATCCCTAAACTTACTAAACACTAATGCCATATTTCTACAGCACAGCACAATAATGCTGATGCTGACCTAGGAAACGTCCTTCAAAAATAACAAAACTTCTTTATTTTGATTAATTTTTGCTTTTTAACAAAATATTGAGACAGACCTTTAGATCTTTAGCAAGAAGACCAAAAAAATCTACAGTGTACTACCTAAATTTCAAATGTCACTTAATTTTATTTTATAGCAAATTTTTCTGTCACTTTTCAATCTCAATGCAACAAAATCCTGCCATGTACTCACATTAAGGTTTACTGCATGCAACTGGCATCCTCACTAATGCAATAACATGCAGAATTTCCAAGTAAATGCCATGCTACTAGCATTGTCAATTTGTCAGGTTTTTTTTTTTTTTTTTTTTTTTTTTTTTTTGAGACATGAAGTATACGAGGAAAAGTCCATGTGAACTTTCCTCAGATATTATTTATATAGAAATACGGATACAGCTGCAAAAAAAATAAAAAAAATCCTATCTTAGTAAATATCAACACAATGTTAATGATAAAATCAAATTACAATCCCACTGTCATACACTACCTCGCACTAAGTCTACATCAATAAATTCCGTCTTGGGCTTTGCCGTTTTGCGTGGAGTATAGGAGAGACCTTGGAGTATTCTTTGTTCTACCGTTGTTTCCCATGACTGTTTATCATAGAGACCTATTCGTCCCTGGTACCATCCAAGTGCAGATTCTAATACCATCCTGGAAGAAAAACAAAATATACAGTGGAACTTTGGTACTAGAACAATTCAGTATTAGAACACTTTGTTCATTAAACAAAACGCTCAGTAGTCAACCGTTTGCTCAGCACTCAACCAACCAAACAAACATGACCTGCCAAAACGTCGCTGTAAACTATTTCATGTTTCTTTGCAATTTTTTGGTGTTTTTTTTATATTATTTGTATAAATAAGTCACCATGGGGCCTAAAGGGTTAGTGATAACAGCCAACCAAAAAGAAAATTGGTTGGGAAAAATTTGTTCTGTACTTGAACAGACTGGCACTCTAACAGTCTTCTGGAACCAATTAAGTTCGAGTGCCTAGGTTCCAAAATCTACAGAATAACCAAAAATTTATAGCACTGAAAAGAAATTAGAGTACTTCTGATAAAATCCAGTTTTTACTTTATTTTCTAATAAGCATTTTGAAATTAGAATCAAATCCAAATACAAAACTACAGATACCATAAAGCTACATTATACATACTGCACAATTAATACAAGCAATGTACAGTGTTAACTTTAGTTTTTATATCCATTAGCTTGAACTTTGCCTAAGTATAAAATCTACCTTTACAATTTACAGTATCTGCATCCATACCTTAAACTGTACTGTACAGTACTATGAAAAATACCCATGAAAAATAATAAGAATGGAGATCACCCGAGTGCTTTAATGCATTTGAATACACATCTTTACCCTTTCTCTACTTAGGTATGCAATATAAATTAAATATATGATCTGTACATACAGTGTTTTCAGGCTCTGATATGAAGAATATATTTTTTAATTCTGCACGACTAGTCTTACATGCTAAAGAAAGCTTATACAGTAATGATTATTTTTATTTTACTTACTAAGGCTATAATTATTTGTCCTCTTTGTATATCTATAGACTACTTATTTGCAACCCAAAACAAATACTGCATATTTTTGTACAATGTACGTATACACAGTGAAACCCCGGGCATCAGCCGATGTGGATATTGGCCAAATTGGATTTAGGCCAGCAACTAGGAAATCGGCCGTATTGGATGCGTCCGCCCGCCACTCCGCCGTGTTCATGAGTCAGTCTAGCTGTGTCTCTAGGTAAGTGAGCAACACTCCGGGCATTCATCCAAATATTTCGCTATAATCCATTGTTTTTTTGTGGTTGTTTATTGAGTGCAACTGCAAAATAGGCCACCACAGGCCCAAAGAAAGTTCCTAGTGCCAGCCCTTTGGTAAAGAAAATGAGAAATGCTATAGAATGCAGTGACAAAACCTTGTCCCACTTCAGGCAAATCTTAAAGAGACACCAGAAACAGACCTCTCTAGACAGTTGTTTTGTGTGACAGGGGTGCAGTGACTCAAGCTGGTCCTAGTGCCAGTAAAAAACAAAGAAGGGAAGTAACCCCAGAGAAGGCTTTGATACCTGAAGTCCTCATGGAAGGGGAGTCCCCTTCCAAATAATAACCCCAGCTCCCTCTCCCCTCCTCACCTTCTTCAATAAAGGTATGTAATGTTCATTTATCATTAAAATTTGTGCTTTACATTAATTCTCATTGTTTTCTGTATGTAAAACTATAGTTAATCTTTAAAAAATGTATTTTTTGTTAATATTTTTGGGTGTCTGGAACAGATTAATTGTACATGTACATCTTTCTTTCAACACACCGGCCGTATCCCAACGAGGCGGGGGTGGCCCAAAAGGAAAAACGAAAGTTTCTCCTTTTATATTTAGTAATACAGTATATACAGGAGAAGGGGTTACTAGCCCCTTGCTCCTGGCATTTTAGTCGCCTCTTACAACACGCATGGCTTACAGAGAAAGAATTCTGTTCCACTTCCCCATGGAGGTAAGAGGAAATAAACAAGGACAAGAACTAGAAAGAAAACCCAGAGGGGTGTGTATATACATGCTTGTACATGTATGTGTAGTGTGACCTAAGTGTAAGTAGAAGTAGCAAGACGTACCTGAAATCTTTCATGTTTATGAGACAGAAAAATGGACACCAGCAATCCTATCATGTAAAACAATTACAGGCTTTTGTTTTACACTCACTTGGCAGGACGGTAGTACCTCCCTGGGCGGTTGCTGTCTACCAACCTACTACCTTTATATGTACATGTATATACATTAATTCTTAGGGAAATATTACTTCAGTTTTCGCCCTTTTCAGATTTAGGCCAACCTTCTGGAACAGATTACAGCTGAAATCTGGGGTTCCACTGTACAGCAGGCAGACAGTTTAAAATTTGAAGCACATTTTGTGTAGATCGTACAGTGGTCTAAGCAATAAAAAAAATACATATACAGTATATATATATATACATATGTATACATGCACAGGCATGCACACACATACAATATGGTATAAAGTATATGTATGTATGCATGCAGGCATGCACACTCGCATACAGATAAAATTAACGAACAATAAAGCACTAGCATGAATAAAACAACACAAATATTATCACACCATGTTACAACAACCAGCATCAGTTAAAAATCTCCTTAAACTGTTAATGTCAAGAATCTCCTTACTGTATGCAATGCTGTGTACACCATTCATGTTTCAATAAGATCACAGTAAACAGGTGATATCACAATATGCAGAACAACCACTGTGAAAAAAATAGTGAAATTCCAAGAGCTTTCATGACTTCTCACATTATCAAGGAACCATATAGTTCCTTGATAATGTGAAAAGTCACGAAAGCACTTAGAATTTCATTATTTTTTCACAGTGGTTGCACTAATCATGTTTATGCATAATCTACAACAATTTATATTGTTGTAAAATAAACTTATCATAGGTAATGTTGATTTAAACAAAAATGAACAATAAAACAGCAGAACACAGGACATTGAAAGTCTAACATTATGATAAATCTGGCAACACTGCAAACAAGATTAACTAAGTTGCTGAATGCTCATTACCAAGCTTCTAACATTTATAAATGAAATCATAGTCTGTGATAGTTTATCATGTACTGACAAAAAAAAGAATAAACGAAGAAAGCCATGAAAAAGCATAACAAGAAGAAAAATTAAAAAGATAAAATTAATGAATACAGAGAAAAGAAGAAATAGTTGAATATGAAGACAGAAGAAAAAGAGAAAAAGAGGAAAAAGAGAAAAAGAGAAAAAGAGAAAAAGAGAAAAAGAAAAAAAGAAGAAAAAGAAGAAAAAGAGAAAAAAAGAAAAAGGAAAAAAAGAAAAAGAAGAGATTACAAGTAAATACAGTACTACCGGCAACAAGTAAATACCAGCAAACACATTTGATACAAAATCAGAGAAATGTTTTTTTGGGTCTGCCCAAACGGGATACACCTGTATGAGGAAATTACATGCTCTATTATAAGACAAGAACACCAATAAAATATCCTTGAAAGACATGTCAGCCTGGTATGACAGCTGGGAAAATAAAATGGGTGGGTTGGACAGGGCTGTCTTAGAAGACAGTGCTCCAGAGGGTCCTGGTGTTGTCCTAGAGGACAGTGCACCAAATGGAGATAGTGGCCCTGGTGATGAAACAGGTAAAGACAATGCTATTCAATCTATCCCAACACCTGAAACCCATTCTCTTTGCTGACGACACGACTTATGTCATCTCTCACCCTAATCTTGCCACCCTCAACACCATTGTTAACCAGGAGCTGATCAAAATATCGACTTGGATGACAGCCAATAAACTTAAGCTTAACACTGACAAAACCTACTATATTATGTTTGGTAGCAGAGCAGGAGATTTATTTATTTATTTATTTATTTATTTATTTAGTAATTTTAGCATACATAGAGATGCACAAATTAACATTAAGATCGACAACACTCTAATTACCAGACATAATGAGGGCAAATTCCTAGGCCTATACCTTGACAACAACCTGAATTTCAGCACCCATATCCAACACATAACCAAAAAAGTATCCAAAACAGTTGGGATCCTCTCCAAGATACGATACTACATGCCGCAAAATGCCCTTCTCACACTATACCACTCACTTATTTATCCATACCTCACCTATGCTATTTGTGCTTGGGGATCAACTGCAGCAACACACCTAAAGCCAATAATAACCCAACAAAAAGCTGCAGTAAGAATAATCACTAAATCCCATCCCTGGCAACACCCCCCCCCACTCTTCATAGATCTAAACTTACTCCCTGTTCAGTACATCCACACTTACTACTGTGCAATCTACATCTACAGGACCTTAAACTCCAATATCAACCTTGACCTAAAATGCTTTCTTGATAGTTGTGACAGAACCCACAGGCATAACACCAGACACAAACATCTCTACGACATTCCCCATGTCCGACTAAACCTTTACAAAAATTCAATGTATGTCAAAGGCCCTAAAATCTGGAACACCCTACCCGAGAACTCTAGAACTGCAGACACATTCATCACCTTCAAAACTACATTAGAAAACATCTTATCTCCTGATAAACCCCATCAACTAACTACACGAATACCACCTGGTGGTTCACACTTACACTCACTCACCCATTTGACCATAAACAGAAATATTAATCTCAATCTTAAAATAATGAATCCTATGATACTCCAATACTGAAACTATGTACTGTGCCAAAACAAAAGCATTCACATTGCTAAACTCACAAACTAGTATTTAGTCACTTAGCCATAATACCAACTTACCTCATAATTTGTAATATTTTAAAATAAAGAATTAAACTAAGTCTGCCCGAAATGCCTAGCCATGCTAGGCATTCTAGTGGTACACTCTGTAATCATTATTTAACTACATGTAAACCACACAACAACCAAATTCTGTAAATTCAACATTGTAATCTTTATAGAGAATAAACTTTGAATTTGAATTTGAGTACAGAGGTACAAAATAGCGATACTGCTGGAGACAGAACAAAAGGGGATGATGGATCAGGGAATAGTGTTGACACATTACCAGCAAAAACTGGTGGAAGCACTGATGTCCATACAGGGGCGATAAACAGAGGGAAAACAGAAAAAAATGCACCAGCAGCAAATGCGGCCACAAAAAGTCTTAGCAAACAAAATTTCAGTCTATGCAAATTCTATGCCTTGGGTATCTGCAGGCATCGTATATCTGGTAAAACAGGTGGGACATGCACCTTTGACCATCCCAAAAAATGCCGCACCCACATGACAATGGGAGGGTGCAACTCCCCTTCTGGTAACTTATTTCAACCCGAAATGTGTCACTTGTCATTCCATGAATGAAAATGCTACAACGTATACTGCCAGGCACATCATCTAAAGGGGACAAGAAGGCACAGACCAGCCAGACTATGGGAAATAAAAGAGGGGAGCCATAACCTCTCCAGAGAAAGAGATTTTTTAGTGCCAGGAAGGAAAAGAGACTGGCAAGAATTGACAGAAATCTTACACAAACTGAAAACATATCTGGAGCAGAGACACAGTCATTGGCCTCCACGCCAAAACAAAATATTAGAGCCAGCAAATAAAACCCCCTTAAAATCCATCAAACATACAGGGTCTAAAGGACATCAACAATAACAAAATTCCTTACATCAAGGGACTGCTCAAGGAGTCGAGTGCAATGTTTGCAGCTTTCACAGAGACCCACATAAAGGATCATTTTGTTAACGAAATATGGATCCTAGGTTAATAAGTGTCAGGGGCCCGAGACTGTTCAACTGCCTCCCAGCACACATAAGGGGATACCAACAGACCCCTGGAGTCTTCCATAAGCCTGGCGACATGGACAAGCACCTAAAGTCAGTTCGATCAGCCCGGAACTGCTGGCGCATCGTTGGCTTGCGTTAGAGCCAGCAAAAAACCCCTTAAATGATCAGGTCTAAGATCCACACAAGTCCTGGTCATCAGACGGCTCACGGGAAGTGCGTTGCACTTCAGGAACCCTCTCCAGGTATTAACTCCAGGTATTCAGATGCGACAGACAGAGTCACTCATTTGCTCAGAACTACTAAACACCTCAAATGATGTACGTAGTTGAAGTTTTGGTGGTAAAGGCTGAAAACCAAAACCTCGTCATTGTGGTGGTATACAAGCCTCTGGATGCAACTTCCCAGCAATTCCAGGAACAGCTTTTGAAAATTGACCACTGTCTGGAAAATATCCCAACTCCTGCCCCAAACATCTTGCTACTGGGAGATTTTAAGCTTAAGATGCCTAAAATGGAGAAGTGTAGCAAATAACATTTTAGAAGAGATCACCCAAGGAGGCAGCTCAGATGAAAATTCACACACACACGGGCTATTAAATTTCTGCACCAAATTCACCTTAAACCAGCAAATATTAGACTCTACAAGACTAGAAAATACACTGGACCTCATCTTCACTAACATCGACAATGTGATTTGTAATATAACTATATCAAAGACAATACACTCAGATGACAACATAATAAAGGTACAGATATGTATGCACAGGGCTCCTGACCAGCAAAATGTGATCAGTTATGAGGGTGTCTTCACAAAATTCAACTTCAGTAACAAAATCATACAATGGGAACAAGTCAACCATGTCCTAAATGAAACAAGCTAGGAAGAAATCCTAAATAATATGGATCCAAACCTTTGCCTAGAAAAAATAAACTCTGTGGTTCTTGAGATCTGCTCAAGGCACATTCCATTAAGAAAAAGAAATAGAAGATGTAAACTAAGAGAGAGACACTCCCTATACAGATGAAGGCAAAGAATCGCAGAGCTCCTGAGAGGGGCCAATATATCTGAAATACGAAGGGAGACATTGGTCAATGAAATAGCCAATATCGAACTTAGTTGAAGGAATCTTACAGAAGACAAGAATCGCAGAAAAACCAAAAAGCCATAAAGGAAACTGAAAAAACCCAAAATACGTCTTCTCTTATGCCAAATCTAAGGAAAAAAACCAGCATCCAGTATTGGGTCCCTGCTTAGGCAAGATGGGACATACACAGATGACAGCCAAGAACTGAGTGAGATACTAAAGTCCCATTACGACTCAGTGTTCAGCGAGCCATTACCCAGACTAAAGGTCAACAATCCAAATAAATTCTTTATGAACAAGACCCAAAATTTAGTTGTCTCAAAAATCTCCGATATTAACACCACAAATCAAATCAAATCAAATCAAAGTTTATTCTCTATAAGGATTACAATGCAGGGTTTACAGATATTGGTTATTGTGTGGTTTACATGTAGTAAAATACTAATTACAGAGGGGGCCACTAGAACACCTAGCATGGCTAGGCATTTCGGGCAAACTTAGATTAATTCTTAACCCTAAATTATAACAAATTGTGGAGTAAGTTGACTAAATACTAAAGTGACTAAATACTAAGTGACAAATACTAGTTTGTGAGTTTAGCAATGTGAATGCTTTTGTTTTGGCACAGTACATAATTTCTATATTGGAGTATCACAGGCAAACTTATGACTAGTTAGGAATCATTATTTTAAGATTATGATACATATTTCTGTGCTTATAGTCAAAGGGGTGAGTGAGTGAGTGTAAATGTGGACCACCTGGTGGTTTTTATGTAGTTAGTTGACGGGGTGTATCAAGGAGATAAAATGTTTTCTAACAGTAGTTTTGAAGGTGATGAATGTGTCTGCAGTTCTAAAGTTTTCAGGTAGGGTGTTCCAGATTTTAGGGCCTTTGACATACATTGAGTTTCTGTAAAGGTTTAGTCGGACACGGGGAATGTCGTAGAGATGTTTGTGTCTAGTGTTATGCCTGTGGGTCCTGTCACAACTATCAAGAAAGCATTTTAGCTCAAGGTTAATATTCGAATTTAAGGTCCTGTAGATGTAGATTACACAGTAGTAAGTGTGGATGTTCTGAACAGTGAGTAAGTTTAGATCTATGAAGAGTGGGGGGGGGGTTGTTGCCAGGGATGGGAATTAGTGATTATTCTTATTGCAGCTTTTTGTTGAGTTATTATTGGCTTTAGGTGTATTGCTGCAGTTGATCCCCAAGCACAAATAGCATAGGTGAGGTATGGATAAATGAGTGAATGGTATAGTGTGAGAAGGGCAGTTTACGGCTCGTAGTATCGTATCTTGGAGAGGATCCCAACTGTTTTGGATACTTTTTTTGATTTGTGTTGGATATGGGTACTGAAATTCAGGTTGTTGTTGAGGTATAGGCCTAGGAATTTGCCCTCATTATGTCTGGCAATTAGAATGCTGTCAATCTTAATGTTGTTGCGCAACACCTGCTCTGCTACCAAACATAATATACAGTGGACCCCCGGTTAACAATATTTTTT